TGACCAAAAAGAAGAACCGAGGAGTGAGCAGGGTGATCAGAACCCCCAGAGGAGCCCGCTACAGAATTTTAGAAGAGTTGATAGAATCCAGGAAATGGAAGGTGAGGGTGCACGGCTAGACGCGTGCCAAAGCATGTTTCCAGACTTCAAGAAACAGAACCATCAGCTGTGGTTCTCAAGGTAATATCGTTCAAGAGGGTTCAGTCCCAAAGTTCTGACAGTGAAGTTGCAAATTATCCTGAGGATTTTTTTAGAAAGAGGCCAGTATCTAAAAATAAAACTGGCTGCCCAGGGAGCTCTCTAATGCACATATTTTAGGAGTTCTAATGTTTTCAAAAAATTTTGACACACTTTTAAAGTATATGAATTTGAATACAGTAAAGCAGACTGGTTACGACAGAGCACTTGGAATCAGACAGCCCTTGAATCTTGGCTGGGCCACCTACCAGCTGTGTAAACTTGATATCATTTAACCTTTCTGGGTTCTAATATTTAAATCTGCCCTATGGGGATAACAGTATCTACTTTCTAGGGTAGCAGTGAGTGAAATGTGAAACGGCACCCGTGAAATCTGCTGTGGTGGCCAGCGCTCGGTAAGTGGCAGACCTGGATTAGGCACTGTCGGCATCCCACAGAAGATAGGAGAGGCAGCTTCTAAAGAGTAGTGCAGATGGGTCAGAACCATATGAGGGAGGCGACAGGACCGGTGATCAGACACTGGGACACCGGGAGGAACCCACAAGTTCCCTTGGGAAAATCGTCTGGAGGTAAGGTAGACGTCCTGTCTGGGCCAGACATCGCAGTGCATGGCTGGCAGAAAGGCAGACAGTGACTCGCTTCCGTCACCGCTACGTCCCTGGGAATGACATGCTTTGACATCAAACTTAACTCGGAGTTGAGGGCAATTAAAACCATTTCTGATGCACTGCAGAGTTTACGGCCACGATTGCAGAGCCTGGATCAATACAAACTTTGCAGAAATGCAGATGGTCGAGAAGCCCGTGAATGAATACTTTTGGCTTCAGTTTGCAAAAGTAGGGGAAAAGATGGACTCGGAAAATACAGAGGTGTGTTTAGTGTCTAGCCCCGGAAGAGTGCTAGAAGAGCTTTGTAATAGTCTCCTAATGGATCGCTCTACTTTTGCTTTTGTGCACCCCAAATCTTTGCGCCGTCTCCTCCATCTAGCAGCCAGATGGATTTCATGCCATATCCGCCCGGCACCCCTCACACCCCAGTGGCTCCCCTCTTCCTGGAAGGCAAAGCCAAAGTCCTTACAGTGGCCTATGAGGCCCAATGGGGCTGCTGCTGCTGTGACCTCCAGCCTGCTCTCCCCTCCCTCTCTGGTCCTAGCACGGCCATCTCCTTGCCCTTGGCCTTCATCCTTACTGCTCTCCTGGCCTGACCACCCTTCCCCAGATAGTAGTGACTGCTTAGCTCTCTCCTCTAAGCCTGCTCAACGACCCCATTCATGAGTCAGCCCTCTGACTGTCTTTTCTCTCTGTAGCACTTATTATGATCCAACCTATTGCATATTTTTACTGATTTCTCCTCCTCATCAACTTTCTCCTCTCACTAAAATGCAGGGCCCCCGGGCTCAGCAGTTTTTGTCTGTATCCCTGGTTTCTAGTTGTGCTCTTTAGATATTTGTTGCTGGCAGAGGAGGGAGGAAGGAGGCCTGGGTGTCCTCAGAGGGCTCACTGCCCCAGCGTGACCACCCAGCCTGCTTTCCCCAGGACTGAGAAGGTTCTTGAACATGGGACTTTCAGGGCTAGGTCCAGGAAAGTCCCAACTGGTCGTCTGCACTGGACCAGCCAGCCTCATTCCCTCTGGGACACAGTGACTGGTCTGAGGGTTCCCAGGAATGTCACAGCCACCAGCCCCTCACGCTGACACAGCACCCCACCAAGCCTGCCTGGACAGCCCTGCGGTTGAGATGCAGACACGTGGGCTGCAAGAGGGACTATTTAGCTGGTTTGCAGTGACCGAGCAGCCAGATGTGTTGATTCCTGGATGAGTGTCGGGCTGCAGGGAAGGCTGCAGTGGGCAGCCACGGAACTGTCTCTCGGCCCGGGTCTGCTCTGCAATCTGTCCGAGCCGTGGTGAGAAATGTGGAGGGCAGGATGGAATTTCCCAGTGGCATCACAAGGGAGGAAAAACGAACATGTTCAGTACTGCAGTCATCTCAGGAGATGTACAGGACAGAGCCTGAGTAGCAGCTTAAGATTCAGACAGAAACAGAAGGGCACAGTGCTGTGCATTTGTGACCCCACCAACCGAGGAGGCTGAGGCAGGAGGCTTGCAAGTTCAAGGCCAGCCTGGGCAACTTAATGACAGCTTAACTCAAATTAAAAAAAAAAAAAGCTGAGAATATAGCTCAGTGGTAGAGTGTTTTGGGCTTTAGTCCCTGGTAGTTCAGAAAAAAAAGAATTAAATAGAAACAAATCTTGTTTTTCGTTTAGGATTTAAGAAAAGATAGCAACCTGAGATGTATAAGAGAGGCCAGGCCTATTTGTAAACTTGGCACAACCTTGGTCTAGAGAGAGAGTTGATGGCGAAGGCCGGGTGGGCTGTGTTCATAGACACCAGACTGTGTCAGTGTAGCGAGGCCACCGTGCTCCCTCCTGGTGGAGCCGAGCCTGGGCTGAGGGTGCCTTGTCCAGGGAGAGGCTGCTCAGCTTTACCTCTTCTGGGTCACAGCAGCCCCCGGGGGTCTCGTCCTCCCTCTCCCCAGCCGCTGTCCCCGAAGCAGCTCCTGCTCCCAAGGAGAAAAGAGGTCACGGGGCTTTCTCTTCCTTACCCGTCTGCCCTCACTCAGGTCCCTGGGGGACGCCGACAAGTTTGGGACCTGGGGTTCAGTTGAGAGACAGAAAATAGCCCCCGTGACTTTCCCCTGGAAGAAGAGATTCACTTTGGAGGACTTGAGCTTCGGAGAGCTGTGTGGTAGCTGGGCAGGAGCAGTGGGGACAGGGGCCTGGGAGCCGGGTGGCCCCGTTGGAGTCGGTGACTTTCCCTTTCCAGGCAGGGCCAGGGGGAGGAGTCGGAGGGAAACGGGGAGATCAGCGGAGCAAATGGTCCTGGGGACCTGGACACTTGCCCTGTGCCCCTGCCGTAAGCAGTGCATTTTCTGGTGTTTGAGCTAGGGACCTAATGCCTTGGGCCTCTAGATCTGCTGGGCTCACTTTTTCGACTGCGGTGACCCAGCCTGGGGCTCTTTAGGAAGCTGAGGGCTGGCTGTGGGGTTGCTGATTCCAGAGTATGACAGGGCTCTGGCTCTTATTTAAGGCCACAGAACCTTCATCCTCCATGTCACATGGGTCGGCCAAGAAAGGCAACAATGGCTGATCAGTCATCGTAAAGGACAGGAAAGGGGTGGCCCACTCCAGCTTCCTGTGCTCAGTATGGGCCCTGCTAACCCCACAGGTTGGCTCCAGTCAATAGGCAGCGCTGCTCAGGGCAGCTGTAGTGATCCCCAAACTCATCCAGAAAGCACCCTGAGAAGCGTTAGGAGTCGTTGCCAGCATGTGGGCAGGGGAGAGGGAACAAGCATGTGGCTGTAGAAAGCATCTCTGTCCCCTTCTGCCTCCAAAGGCCACATTCCCTGGAAAAGCATCCACGGAGGGGCTCACTGGCTTTAGGGTGTGGGCCATTAACACGGAGGCCCCTCGGGGAGGAGCAGAGGGTCCATCCTCCAGCCCTCCCCCTCTCCTGCTGTCTACTGAAAACTCAAGGCCTGGACAGGTGTGCACAGTCCTGGCCATGGCAAGCAGCTGCCCAGTGGTTCTCAAAGCTCTGTCTCCAGTCTAGCAGGGTCAGCATCACCTAAAACCCTGTTAGAAATGCACATTCTCAGGCCCCACCCGCTCTTCCAGATCAGAAGGTCTGTGTCTGTGCTGAACAAGCCCTGCAGGAGGTTTGTTGCAGGTTAAAGTGTGAGACCACCGGCCCAGGAGGCAGGAGGCTGCTAAACCTCCGTCCAAACCTTCGTGCTTACGGAGGGAGGCTAACCTCTGGGTTCAGGAGTGTTCTCATTCTAGGTCCATGGGTCTTTTGCTGTGTTCCTGGTCTGGCATCTTCCTGTGTATATATTTGCAGTCTTGCTGGTGGCTTAGGATCTGCTTCCTGCAAGCCTGCTGTGTGTGTCGCGTAACACCAGGGATACTCCCAGGCTCTCGGTGGGGCTTCTTGCCAGGTTCAGAAACCTGCTCCTTTCCGAAGTCTATCTCAGAAGCAGAGTGCAGTTGCTCAGTGGCTTCCAGCTCTGGCATCACCCCTCAGTTGGCCCACAGCAGCCGCTCTGCCCTTGGCTCTGTTGGTTTTCCAACAGATGTTCCTCTTCACATTCGGTTCTCAGAAGTCAGTTTAAAAAATACACTACCTAAGCAAACCAGACTCGGTGCCGGTTACACCAAAATGGAAGGGAAGGATGAATGCAGCGATTTCCCTGTTCCAGAGTCTTCCCCTCCTCAAATCCTCTGCCACCTATGCCCACCTCCTGCCCCAGAGAGCCAAAGTTCTTGCTGTCTGGATGATTTGCAATTCTCTGCATGACTCTGCCTCTTGGGTTTGTTTAATTAGAAATAGGCCGGGAAGTGCTTCTATGCACTGGCATGTTAATTGCTTCTCAGAGAAGGAGGAAGGGTGACCATGTTTGGTGATGGAAATTTCCGCTCTTGCTCCATCTCTGGGTTTGTCTCCCCTTTTCTCTCCCACCCTCTGCCTGCCTTCACCGTGCTCTTCCTCCCGCCCTTTCCTGCTGCTCATCATCAGCCCCTCCTGCTCTCTGCCCTCCTCCCCCAGGCCCCCTGCCCACAGATCTGGAGACTCTTGGGGGCTGGAGCAGACCCAGAGGCCAGAATCCAAACCAAAAAGCAAACACTAACGCATCTCTCTTCGCCCTTTCATCACAGCCCCTCTGTCACCTCCAGGCTGAAACGACCCTAAAGCAGAGAGCTCTTTCCTCAGACTCAGTATGGAAAGGACTCCTTCCCTTCCCCTCTTACTGTTGTTGTTATTAGGGTTTATTTTTATTTTTTACAAAACAGGAGAAAAGAGTGAATTGGGTTGGGGGCAGGTGACACATTTCTCCACAAAGATACAAAATCGCCTATAGAAAGTCAATCCCAAAGAGCCCAGGCTGCTGAGACGAGCCATCCCTGGGCATCCCTCTGCCTAGATGTCCTTCAGATCCAGCAAGGGGCCACTCTTGGTTTGGGGGATACCCCTGAGATGGGAAGGAGAGGCCACCTCAGCCCTTGCCCAGGAGGGGAACGAGCAAGCAACTGAGACTGTACAAAGAAAGGAAGAGGAAGCAGGTGCATCCTTCGGGCCAAGGGCCTTGGGGCACAGGCAGGGGACAACCAAGCAGAAGCCAAGCAGAAGCCCAGCAGCCTCTGGGCGCGTAGATAAATGGGGAAGTGGGAGGTTCCAGCCAGAGTCCTCCTGTGCCTTGGAGATGTCCTCAGAATGGCAGCAGAGGACCCCCACAGGCAAGAGGAACTTTCTGGAGGTCACAGGAGCACCCCCCGGAGACACAGAGCCCCATCTGTCATGGTCCAGCTGCCAGGCCTCAAGCACATGGGTCCATCCACTTCCCTGGCAGGGCATCTAGCCCAGATTGCTTCCCTTTCGGTAAAAAGTAGTCCTAGTTATTTTTCTACTGCTGAGAACTGGCTGAGCTTCAGGAATTTTGAGACAGTGGCAGTGATAATGTCTCCCCTTCTGATGATCTGGACAGCTTTCTTCCCGGATTCCAGGGCAGAACAAGGGGTGCAGACACTACCCGGACGGAGGGGGCGCTCCAGCCCCAGAAAGCCCAGGCTGGAAGGAGAGGCCGCCCACCCACCCCCTGCCTTGGCTGGCCTGTGCCAAGGTGGGCTGCAAGCCCAGCTGCCAGCAGGAGGACAGTGAGAGCCAGGATGGCTATGAGCCCAGGCCGGTCCCCTAGGGCTCTGTGACAAGGAGTGGCCTCTTTAGTCCTGGCCCATGCACAAGCCAATTCGGTGTGGGCATCAGCAAAGGCCACTTGCAGGCAGGCCCAGTAGTCTGTGGCCTGCAGGAGGCGGGTAATGTTGTAGCTGTGGATGCCCCGGGGCAGGCGAGCCAGAGCAGGTGCCCTCCGGCCCCGGAGAGCAGAGGTGCTGGACCAGGTGAGTTTGGTGGACACTGTGTTGGGTGGGGGGACCCAGGACAGCAGGATGCGATAGGCATGGGCCTCCTGCACCCGAAGCTTTAGTGCCCATCCCTTGTCCCTGCCTGGCTGCCGGGGAGCCCTGCCCACCAGCACACTGACCGTCTTGGTGTCGGCCCCCACCAGGTTCTGGGCCACACAGGTGTACAGCCCCGCCTCTTCCACAGTCACCCTTCGCAGCTCCAGGGTCCCCTCAGGGTACACCCGGTACCTCCTGCCCACGTGGGCAGGCGTCAGTCGCACCCCGGCTGGAGTGACCCAGTAGATCTCAGGTTCTGGTTCCGCCAGCGCCCGGCAGTGCAGTGCCACAGTCTCTCCGCTGGCCACCTGGAGGCTTGGGGGGAAGCTGCGGGGGGAGATGAGGGGCAGGCAGTGGTCCGTCATCTCCCGGAAGGACACCTCGCGGACCGGGTGGCGCTGGAGGTCGGGGGGCTCGGCGCACATGGTGGACTGCGGCTCGATGAAGCGGATGCGGGTGCCCGTGGCGTTGGCCCAGCGGATGACGCAGTCGCAGCGGATGGGGTTGCCGTGGAGCCCCACCTCCTGCAGGTTGGGCAAGGACTCCACTGTCTGCTGGTGCAAGGCACTGAGAGCATTGTTGTTGAGCATGAGGGTCTCCAGCTGGGGCAGGTGGTGGAAGGCGCGGGGGTGCACGAAGGACAGCCGCGGATTGTTGGTGACATCCAGCTTGGTCAGCTCGGGGAGGTTAACCAGGGCGAACTTGTCGATGGAGACCAGCTCCTCCATGTTGTTCAGCCCCAGCTCCTTGAGGTGTAGCATGTTGGCAAAGTCCCCTGGTCCAACCCGCTGCAGTGGGTTCTTGTTCAGGTCTAGAAACTTGAGCCCGGGCACCTTCTCCAGGGCCCGCCTGGGCACCTGGGCTAGCTGGTTGTCATAGAAGGAGAGGCTCTCCAGGCTCTGCAGCCCCTCCAAGGCATAGGTGGAGATCTCCCGCAGACTCATGCCCGCTAGCACTAGGCTGCGAAGGTTGGCCAGGGGCCGGAAGTTCATGTCCAGGATGGCATCCACCTTGTTGCCGCCAATCATGAGGATCTCCAAGTTGGGCAGCATCTCGAACCAGCGGCTGTCGATGGCCCTCAGCAGGTTGGAGTTGAGGTGCAGACGCAGCAGGTTGCTGAGGCCCTCGAAGGCCCGGGGGGCAATGCGGTAGAGCTGGTTGTGGTTGAGATAGAGCTCCTGCAGGCCAACCAGCCCTGCGAAGCTGTGGTCCTCCAGCCGGGTCAGCTGGTTCTCCTCCAGGTGCAGGCTCAGCAGCTGCGGCAGGGCCCTCAAGTCACAGTCCCGGATGTCTGAGAAGCTGTTCTGGGACAGGTCCAGCTCGGTGAGGTTGGCCAGGTAGGCAAGCTCACTCTGGTCCACGCGGAGGATGCTGTTGCTCTGCAGCAGCAGGGTCTGTGTCCCTGCAGGGAGCGCAGAGGGTACCGCTGTCAGGAACAGGTCATTGCAGTCCACCGTGGCAGCCTCGCGGTAGGATGAGCGGGGTGTATACCAGGGCCGGATCTGACAGGCACACTGATGTGGGCAGGGCACACGCCAGGGCACCACGGGCACAGCAGCAGTGGCACCAGCCACCCAAGCTAGCAGGAGAGGGGCCACGAGGAGCCTCATCGTGGAGCTGCAGGCCAGGAGAGCATCCACAAGAAGAGCCTGGCTTCCTGCTCTTGGAGTTCTGCAGGGTGAGGATCAGCAGCCCTGCCAGGGCCCAGGGAGCCGCCCTCCCAAGGCAGTCATTCTAGGCGAGGCTGGGTAGGCATCACTTGGTGCCCTCCTGGGTGTGGCTTCTCATCCTCGTCCACCAGGGCCTGGCCTGCTCCCTCATCGCCACAGCCCATCCGGGGCAGCCCTAGAAGGAGAGCATGCAGAGTGAAGGTGAACGTAGGAAGCAGAGTCCACCCCTCCATCCAGGCCTCCATGGTTCCACCCAAGAAGCCAAAGGAGCAGCAGAGGTTCCAGGCCTCTTGGGTTCTGCCCTACACTCCTTAAGACTTTAGTGTCTTTTTCTACAACCTGTACAAAGTGACTACAGATCTTTAGGGAAGAGCCCTGAGATTCACTGAAGGAAGGCGTGTGTGTGTGTGTGTGTGTGTGTGTGTGTGTGTGTGTGTGTGTGTGTGAAGCAGCATGGATGAGGTGGAATTTTGGTCATCTCCAGAGACCTTCTGAGCCCAGAGAGATGAGGAATAGATTCTCTAAGTTTTCTAGCCTCTTTCTTCCCCGCTCCCTGGCTCACTGGGTAGATGGAAGATAAAAATGATAGTTTCTAGACATCCCTCTGGTGGTGTAGGCAGGAAGGGGGATGGTGCCAATGAGTGCAGCTTCTAAAACGTGGGATGAGGGCTGGGGATGGAGCTCAGTGGTGCCATGCCTGCCTGGCAAGAGCAAAGTCCTGAGTTTGATTCCTGGTATGGGAAAAAAAATTCAAATGTGGGATGGAGGCTGGTGCAGTGGTGAACCCCTGTAGTCTCGGAGGCTGAGGTAGGAGGACAGTGAGTTCAAGGCCAGCTTGGGCTACAGAGCAAGAAAAGACCAAACCAAACAAAATGGAAAATGGGCTACCCAGGACTGGAGTTGAGAGACAGCAGACCTGGCCCCCCATCAGCACAGGCTGGGGAAATGGGGTGGCTCTGCCCGGATCTGCCTGGGCCTTCCTAGGTGAGGGGCTTTCCCTTTCCCAGCCGCTTGTCAGAGCTGCCCAGAAGGGATGCAGTGGGGTTCAGATCGTGGCTCTGTGGCTGACCTGGCCACTGCTGGCTTCTTTGGGTGCCACTCCCCTCACTCACAGCGTCAGAGTTCAGGTTCTGTCCCCTGACAAGCTGCCCTCTCCTGTGTCTCCTCCTCATTGTCTCCCAGACATCTCCCTTGTTCTTCAAGACCCAAGTTCGGCCACTTCCTTCAGAAAGCTTCTCCTAAACCCCCAGACCCTAGAGGCTAGGGGGGCTGGTTTGTGGCTGACAGTGCCTACACTTCCTGTGGTCACAGCTCTGACCTCCTCCAGCAGAAAGCGGCACCAGCTAGAGCACTGACAGTGAACCTCTTAGAGCCCGAGTGCCCAGACTGCAAACCAAAACCCACTTATTTATTGCAAAGTGCCAACACTGCCCCAGTGTGGGCTGTTATCTGACGCTCAGCTGCCTGGGTGATGCCAGGGTCACTTGGCTCGCACGCCAGGAGGGCTCTTCGTGCCTGCTGTGGCACGTGTGCCACATGTTTGCCACCACTGAGCCACAGGCTTGCCTTGCTTATGTGGAACCTGTAGCATAGGACGGGTGCTCCCTGAGCGTTTATTGTAGGACTCGCGCTTGTCCAGGAGGAGGCCCCTCCACCCCTAATCTGGAATCTGAGCAACTCAGCTTCTGTCCTAGACCTCAGGGCCAGGCTGCCCAGAAGCAAGGCTGCCTTGGCCTACAACCAAAGACGGAAACAAAAAAAGGCCAAACTCTGGGTTCCCTGCTCAGACCAGGTCTGGCTCTTGGATGGAGGTCAAATTCCAGGCAGATTTGCAGCCGCAGGTGTCAAAAAAGTGCACACTCACACTTACCAAACACCTGCTTTTGGCCAGGACTCCCTTCAAAGACTCTGAACATCTCATTCCATTTATTCCTCATTACAGGCCCACCAGACAGCGTTCATACCCCCGGGTCCTGACGTGGGCAAAGAACTTGGCTCAAGTCATATAGATGTCAGCAGCAACAGACAAAAACAGGCCTAGAGGGTGTGCCTTCTCCTCCTTCCTTCTCTGTCCCAGGTCTGGCCCCACCTGCCCTGGGCCTTGGAGATCTGGGGTACACTGGCTGTACCCATTCCTGCTCCTCGGGGTGAGGACTCCTTGCCAAGGAGCTGAGAAAGCTCAGAGCCCTGTTGCAGATGGCCCTCAGCTGGCCAGCAGGGCTCCTCACCACCTCGTGCTGCTTCCAGGATGAGGGAGAGGGGAGCAGTTGGAGCAGGGTACCCATCCCTGAGCAGGGGAGCAGCGAGCCTGTGTATGTCTGACTGCTTCCCACTTTGCTCGGCAGCTATTTCGGAAGGTGGGAAAAACACCCGTGGCTTGAAAGGTGCAGAGGTTTGCGTAGGGGTGTGTGCGCTGACACGTAAACCTTGGGGTAAACAAACACACATGCACACATGCACTCACACCTGCCTGCACACGTGTGCAAGGGGAAACCTGGGGAACAAAGCCTTCCAAGTCAGTGATTGGGGGTGTGGAGGGGGAGGGAAGTGGGTGGTGTACAGTGTGGGTAGACAGGAAGTAGGAACGAGGAAGTAGGGACCCTGAGAGGTGCCTGTCATGGAACTGGATCCAAGGCCCCTGGCCCTGCCACACTCACACACCAGAGCCCACTCTCACCTAGACTTGTCATGAGAGAGCAGGCCCAGCTCCAAATAGATCAGGACTCAGAACTCGCTCTACCCCTTGCTATCCTTGGAAGACTTCCTTGCCTCTCCGAGCTTCCGTTTCCTTATGTATAAAACAAGACTCATTAGAATTAAATGGGTTGAATGTGTTGCACATAGAAAGAGCTCAAAAAATCTTAGCTCCCTGCCAGTTCTGGCATCTCCCAAGGTTGGAGACAGTAGATGTTGGATCCTAGGGCTCAGTAAGCCTCCACTGAGCTTACCCACTGGTCAGTGGCACAGTCCCCAGGTGGCTTGCAGGCTGGGAGCAGAAATAGACAGCAGGTCCACGCCTTCACAGAGTGCCGTGCTGGTTGGGGAGGCAGGGCCCAAACTGCCAAATGAGGAGGACAGTCCAAGACAGCTCACAGATGAAGAGGAGGACGAGGGCCGAGCAGGTGGAGAGGGCTGTGCAGTGGGCGCCCTGTCCTGCCCTTCAGACCCGACCTGAGCCTCCGCTTCCTTCTTCCCCTCCTCCACCTTTGTTCTAAGTGCCAGATCAGTGTTCCGCTGCAGACTTACCAAGAAACCACCTGAACTTCAAAGCTCCAGCCCCGGTACCCCTCCCCCGGGCCTCTCTGGCTGAGCAGGAGCCCAGGGCTGGGCTTTGAGGTCCAGAGAGAGGCAGCGGCTGAGGACTCATCTTTACCCAGAACTCTGACCTGAAGGCGCGGTGCAGGCCCAGACCAGTCCTCCCCTAGCTTGGAGCACAGAGCCCTCCCGTGATAGAGCGCAAAGCTGTCCACTCACTGCCAGCACCCGCACTGCTTAAGGCTGTCTTGTGCATGCCCGCTCACGCAGGCCCATTAGCAGTTTCGACTGGGAAGCTAATTTTGTTTTTGCCCTAATCTCCTGGATGATCACGAGTTCAGACTATCACGTGTCCCTTTTCCCCAGCTGGATTGAGAGGTCCTTTCTGCAGGGGCCATGCCTTTGGGGCCCCCAGAGCACCAAGTGTAGGACCTAGCAAGTACCGGGACTTGTGACTGGGTGTGCATAATGGAACATGATGTACACATACACACTATAGTCGGTTCTCCTACCCACCCGATATGCAAGCAAAGAAGGGTTGTTTAGGGCTGGGAATTTAGCTCAGTGAGATAAGGGATTTAGCTCAGAGTTCGCCACCTGCTGCACAAGCCCAAGGACCCGAGTTCAATCCCCAGTACCCTAAATAAATAAATAAATAGATAAATAGAAGGGGTTGTTCAGTCGTGTTTTGCTCAGGGAGGCAACTGACAGAAAGGTGAAGTGACAGGCAGGAGGCTGCACGGCTTCTGTGAGGAGGGTCAGGGTTGGGGCCCAGGGCCTCCGACTCCATAGATGCCCTCCAGCCCAGTCTCTGTGGGCCAGTGCTGGCTCGACAGCAGCAGAGAGCCTGAAGCACCTGCCTGGCTCCTTAGCAGACCTACCCGACTGCCACCTGCCAGGCCCCGCGTGCTTTCCTTGACTCCTGGGCCGGGTGACGCCCTGAGGAGACAGTAGGGCAGGACCTGTTCCTTTGTGAGTGCTAGTGGGTCTGGAGCCAGGAGGACAAGACCCAGCGGCGGCACCCAGACCCCGGCCAGGCCGGTGGCTGCAGTGGGTGGCTGCTGAGGAGACCACACAGTGGGGCCGCAGGCCGGGACACAGGGCTGGTTGGGAAATTATTCTCTTGAAAGAGCAGCTCCGCCAACCCAGATGGACCCCTCCCCCAGGCAGCCTCTCTGGGTTTAGCAGGAAGTGTAGAACTGATCTCCTCCTGAACCTCCTATTAAACTAAGCCCTCGGCAACCGCGTAAGGAAGAGTTTGGGAGACGCTGTGGTCGGGAGCTGGAGCCTTGTTTCCAGGTTCCTCCTCTGGCCCCACCCCAGCACAGCTCTGGGGCTCCTGCCTGGCCTCGATATGGAAGCATGGAGCCCATTGTGCAAGCAGAGCCTCTCTCCCCTTCTCCCCCCTGCTTTTTCCTCTCCTTCCCTCCTGGCACCCTGCCCAGCCCCAAGGAGCCAAGGGTCCAGAGGGAGGCCGCCGGGTGGTGGTGATCGATTGCCTAGGCTCGGCGGCTGTGGTGCCAGGTCCCCTCCCTGGAGCTGCAGAGACAGATGGGCAGCAGAATTGAGTGCAGCGCTGATAAACTCCGGCCTCCTCAGCAGCAGGTGAGCACTGGGTGGGAGGGACACGCAGGGAGCGGAAGCCACCCTCTGTCTGTACCCCCGGCCTGCAGCCCCTTCTGGGAGGGGAGCAGGCCCCTCACTCGTGCCTCTTGTTTAATCACACACAACCAGAAGGCTGGAGCTGGTGGAGACCTCAGCGTTTCTTCCAGAGCCTGAATTCTTTAAATAACTTATACAAAGGAGGGAGGGACGGTGGAGCAGAAGGAGCCTGGGTTTTGCTATCGGGGTCTGAGCCTGGCTCTGCCACCCGCTGTGTGACCTCGGCCAATGCACTTAACCTTGGGAGCCTCAGATGCC